AAACCCCCAAGCCCAACTCCAACATCGATCCCCATCTCAACCCCGGAACCCCTGATCCTCATCCCAACCCCGAGCCTGGCCCCACCTCCTGCCCCTGAGACCCCCAACACCAATCCCAACTTCGACCCCGATCCCACTCCCGATCCCAGCCCCAACCCTGGCCACGACCCCGATTCCAATTCCAATCCTGATCCCGACTCCGATCTCGGGATCCCCGATCTCGGGACTCAAGGCCCCGATCCCAACCCTGACCCCGATCCCGAAACCCCCGAGCCCAACTCCAACACCGATCCCCATCTCAACGCCGGAGCCCCTGACCCCGATCCCAGCCCTGACTCCCGATCCCAATCCCAATCCCAACCCTGACCTCGATCCCGGGATCTCCGACCCCAATCCCACCCCCTGCCCAGCACAGTGGGGTGAGCTGTCCCTCCGGTAACTTACACGTGTTTATTAGGGATGTGTGCGTTCCCAAACACACCGGCCCCGGCCCCGCCACCCCTCCCGTGCCCCTGCCCTGCCCCACGGCACCCCCAGCCCAGCCCAGCCCGGCTTGGAGCTGTGGAGAAGGAACCAGCGCGGTCTGAGCTGCTCACGGCAGCTGGATCCTCCCTGTCCTCCAGCTGTGCCCACCACCAACATCCCAGGGGGTTCCCAAATCCATCACACTGGTCCCACCATAAATCACTGCCTGCCATACATCTCCCCCGGGAGATGCAGGAACCGAGGTGCATTCCTGTCCCCGGGAATGGGAATTTTGGCTGTCAGTAATGACAGCAGAGCAGGACACTGCACCATCACACCATGGAGAACATCCCACTTGGGACACAGCAGCTCCGTACACACGTAGTAACGGAGGAGTAACACCTTTGTAACTGCAACAGCATCACAGCTACGTCAGGCTACCAGAAAAAGTGAGTTTCAATTCTGACCGCTCCCAGTCTGTGCCAGCACATCCTGCTATGTCCACGGGAGGAAGTTGCAGTGCAGGAGCAGTCCCAGCAGCCAGTAGCACAGGAAGAATCCCAGGATGCCCTTGCTGAGGGGGGTAATTAATCGCCAGTTCAGCAGCAGCCTCACAACAGGGTTGTCAGGAGTCCCTTTCCCACAGGAACCGGGAGATTTACCTAGGACAGACCTCCCAGGGGGTGGATTATCAGTCCCTGCACTCCAGAGTAAAGGTTCATGTTCCTGAAGCAGGTGAGCGGAGAACCAGTACAGGATGGGAGAGGAGGAGCCAAGGAACCGGGTCAGCACCTGGAGGCAACAGGCACAGCAAAAATCACACCAACTGCAGCTCTCTAATTGTGGCCAGCCCTGATCCCGAGGTGTGGAAGGAGCCAAGGGCCTGCCTTAGGCTGCTGATAAGGGGATGGAAATACGGCCCCAATTCATGGCATTAGGATTTATTACATCAATATGACCTCCCAGCACAGCCTGCTTCATCTCTTACAACACTGTGTGAGCAGCCAAGGGGTCCCCAGGTTTTGCTCCCTGTCACTGCCCAGCTCAGGGCAGATTTGAATCTCAATCTTTGATTATTCTGTTACTGGAACTCCCAAACTTTGGTGCCACCAGCTGTGCTCTGGATCTTTCCGCTCCCATCCATTAAGCTCGGCCCAACACGACAAGGATCCAATATCCTTGTCCTCCAAGGACAGCAGTGCTTGGCAAGCCTGGCCTTATAACAGGCTGGACCCATTGATCCCTGTCACCGTGTCACCATCACACTGAGCACCCAGCAAGCTCTTTGGGAACTCTCCAGAGGAACTAACTGGCTTCGGGTTCTCTGGGGAAGTAGCTCCCAAAGAGGAAAGGCAAAGTTTTTGGTTTCCATTCCCCTGTGCTGCCCTGCAGCTGGGACAGCTTTGGGCTGTGCCTGTCACTCCCTCAGACCCCATAAAGGAATATGTGCCATGAGTGTCCTACCTGCACGTGCATGCAGAAGAATCCAAAGGCCAGCAGGGCCGTGGCATGGACCACGTACACAAAGGCAGCAGGGCAGCAAAATCCATCTCTTGGCTTTCCCTCCTCTTCACTCTTACTTCGCCCCAGACCAAGAGTCAGGCAGTGCCAGGGGTTTGTGCTGATGTAGGTCCAGGCAGCCCACGAGACCAGAAGGGTCACAGGCAAAGCCAGCAAGAAATTTGGGATCTGTCTGAGCTCAAAGTATCTTAGAAAGCCCACATTCCAGTAAGTGTCTTGGATGTAGGAATAGACCACAGGGACCCTCTGGGAGCACCAAGGGGGTTTAGACCCATCCATGGCTGCCGGATGATAGCCCTTGTCCCGAGCCAGCTGCAGCAGTGGCTCGGGAATGGTCTGATCCAGGCCAGTGCCAGGACCACAGAACCTCAGGTAGGCATAGTACTGAAACAAAGCAAAAGGTAGAAAAATCCCAGCACTCATCAGGACCGCTGAAGATGCCAGGCTAAGGACCTGCTTCCACAACAGAGGGAGCTTCCTTAGGGATCCTGATCCCACCTGCAGCTGGAGGGCAAAGCGTTTACCCTGGGAGTAGAGGAAGAAGCCAGCGTTAATCAGCCCGTTGGCACGCGCCCCAGAAGCCAGGGAGAAGAGCAGCCCACTGAGCCAGCTCTGCCCCTTCTCCAGCTGCCACATGGCACCGAACGCCAGGAAGGCAAACATGCTCTCCGAGTAAGCAGCTGCCATGAACACGTTGGCAGGGCTGAGAGAGAAGAGGAGGGCAGCGAGGAAAGCCACGCGGCGCCGCCGCAGCACCACACGGCCCAGCTCGTACAGGGCAGCGGCTGCCAGGGCGGAAAACAGGGAATTCAGCAGCACAGCCGAGAGCAGGAGGCGGCTCCGCAGCCGCAGCAGCCGCTGCAGGGGCCACAGGGCCCCCCTGGCCACGGCCCACAGGCTCAGGGGGTACAGCGGGAGGAAGGCGCAGTTGTGCTCGTACAGGTATCCGTGCTCCGCGATGAAGAGGAAGTGCTCTGCGTCCCAGTGGGACAGCCCGCCCAGCAGCCACTCCACCAGCACATCCCACGGGCTGGGCTCCGACAGCCGAGGGGGAGAGAAGGCGTCTGCGGCGTGATCCGGGATCAGCAGGTTAAAGACAGCCTGGAAAAAGAAGAGAGGGTTGAAGCCCAGCAGGGATCATCCAGTACCGAAAGCAGCGGGCAGGAGAACTCCTGGGGTTCAGACAAAGGGATCAGAGCAGCACCAAAGTCAGGCTGAGGGGCTTCGTTTGTAAGAGTGCCTGTGAGGTTGGGAAAAGGGGCAAACACAACCTTTTTTATTTATATCTGAACAGAATAAAGCTCTGGGGGATGTATCCAGCATGAATCCCCACAGAACTGGCCAGGGAAAGCTGCTCAGGCTGCACACGCTCACTCCAGGCACCCCAGGTTTCCCCATCAAGCAGAAGCACCTCATGGAGCACAAGAGGTACTAAGGAGAGAAGCCTGGGAGCAGCACACTCCAGCTGTCCCAGCCCCTCTGGCTGAGGGACAGGAGACTTGCCTGCAGCAGCAGTGTCAGGGCTCGACAGCGCCCGGCGAACCACACGACCTCCCGGAGCTGGGGGTCTTCCCTCCTCACCAGCTCCATTCCACGCTTGGAAGTTGCCTCAGCAGGTCACTGATGTCAGGGGAATTCTCCCTCCGGTTTGGGAAGCCTGGGTTGGTAAACAGAGAGGAGAGAGAAAGGGATTTCTGGCTTCAGCCTCATTTATAAATGATGCGCCTTTATTTACTATCAGGCACTTCAAAGGGTGCAAATCTCTGTGAACAGGAAAGTCACTGATGGGGAGATGACGCAGAGACCTCTTTGATATTGTTCCTATTAAAAAAAAATTCCCTGACTTCTTAACCTTGGCTAGGACACAGAGGGAGAGAGGTTATGTCATGTACTCTGAGCCCATTCCTCATCGGACTGGAGTAAATCCCTGGAGCAGACAGGCTCCATAGCTGCCTCAGCAGGAACAACAGCAGCTGGAGCCAGGACTCCGCCAAGCCTCCTCACACACATCCAGTTCCAGTGCAATGAATGAGATTTAAACCTCTTTTCCTTGGAATAGAGACAGGATTCATGTGGACTCTGAGCGTAACATCCGTGTAAGCAGTTGCTGTGTGGGGCTCACGGTGCTGCCAGACTCCCTCTCCTCTCTCCTGCTCCATGTTTGCCCCTGGAGAGCCAAGAAATGGATGAGCTCAGCATTTACTCCATGGCACCATCTCTGTTGGAGGAAGGTGGTACACAGGTACACAGCTTTCCCCCAGCACAGACAGCATCTCCAGGACACGAATTTTGCACCACTCCACCCTCACCACCAGCAGTTTTCCAGTATTTTGGCAAAGCTCCTGACTCCGGAGTGTGGGCACCTGCCTGGCAAACGTGTGCTGAGGTGGCTGTCATCCACCTCCTCCCTGCAAATCCCACCTGCAGGATTTAAAACTCCTTGTGGAGCCTCCCCCCCCCTCCCAGTTTAATTCCTGTATGTCCTGGATGAGGTTGTGGCCCAGCTCGGAGCCCCTGGCCCCATGCCAGGGGAGGAGGGTGGGATCTGCCCTGCAGGTTTTTAAGATAAGACATTTCTTCCGTTGGTTCCCCAGCCACCAACTGCTTTTCAGTTTGAGAAACACACAACCCACAGCTCTCACCAGGTCCCAGTGACACCACATCCTGCACTTCTGTCTGCCCCAGCACTTTGTAACACGTAAAGGTCCCCAGATCGATCGCTTCACAATCTAAAATCACCCAGAGGGTTCTCTATTACCGTTTTACTGATGGAGGAAAATCCATGCCAAGGTTTGAAACTGCATGAGAGAGTAGAAAGCGAGTCACCAGCAAGGCAAAAACCAAGATCCAAACACACTCATTGGTAGTTTCAGTCCCCAGCCACAGGGTTATGCTTCTTATTTAGCCACAAATAAAAAGTTTTGGAGTTGTTCCTATTCCCCTTGTGCTCCCCAGCACTCACAAAGCAACTAGTGGGAGGCACATTCTCCTGAATCACGAAGCTGTGACGTTATTTTAAGCGAGGGGACACTTCAACCCAGCTGTAAATCCTTTTAAAGCACATTCACAGCTGCAAATCCTATTAAAGCACAGCGGCAAAAATTGTCCCGGCACTTTAAATACTTTTTTTTTTTTTTTTTTTCAAAAAAGCAGAGAAAAAGCCTCGCCTGAACGTGCCAAGAGAGCTCAAAGCAAACAGCTTTAAAAAGCCTGTTCCTGTCACGACTCAGCACACCTTGTGATGGAGCAAAGCCTACAAAGAGCTGCAGCCCACAAGCACCATTCGGGTAAAGAACTCGGCATCAGGG